AAAAATTCCTGTAACAACTCCTATTTAAACAGCTGGAACATCAAACCTCACTGAATACATGTATAACAAAAATACTGATTATATGGACCTATAGCACTTCCAGTAAAACAGGCGTGGTTCGGCGACGGCGAGGTGGGGGCATTTTGCACTTTTGGTAATTCCCATCGACATGTCGGGCCGTCATAAAGAAACCTGTGAATACCTGTGAAATCCGGTCACCATGATGACTCGACAAGCTTGCTCCAGCTTCACAAGAGTTCACACGTTTCATCACAGTATGACTTGTAAACCGAACTAGCGAAGCAGCGAAAGTGCAAAATGCTTCCCCCCCCCTCACTCCATCGTCGAATGGATTACATGGGCCGATGGCACATCAAACAAATTTGAAAAAGAAAACTTGAAACGAAAGAAGTACAAAAGCATCGGCTCTAAACAAACCTTTATCGTGAAGTCAGAAGGGGTGCCTGGTTTGACCATCGGACGGATAACACCGTCATGATGGGAATGGATGAGCGTTTCATCCAAATCGAGCACCAAAATCTTTTTACGCATTATACCTACAAAGTTGTAACATTGGCTTTCTATCCAAGAAAGACAGCTCATCAGAAAACTCACTTAATCGATGCGCAGTAAGAGGTGAGCATGGTACGTGATGATACTTTACGACTTGATATTTTGCGTACTGAAAAGATTCAATAAACTATTGAGTTCTAGTCATAATATTACTCAGAAACAATTATTTACAAGACATACAGTATACCTACCTCTTACAATAAGCACAGGGGTAAGCACAAATTGATAGTAGTTTACCGAACCCTATATAGACGCGCCATATCCACGGCTTTCATTTGGGATCGCAGTGACTTTTGCATACTCATTCCTCGTGATTTACGAAGGCCAACTGATAAGAGTAACCTCATAGACAAGTTCGATATCATTTGGAGATCTAGGGATAGGGAGGGGGATTCAATCCATGACAGTGGATTGATTATAGATCTGACCAGATGTGGAGCTGGTATAGTAACCCTTCTGCCACAGCTGCTACCTATTAGCGCAGAGCACCCAAGCCCCAAATTCGACAACCATTTTGCTTTCTCATAGCGGAAGGTGGGAAAACGGTGCAAGGAAACGACTGCGAGCGAAGTGGGTG